CACTATAAAACTAGTCAGAGTCTATTTATTAGATTTTTATTCAATAAATAATAAATTTAAAATATAAAAAAATAGATAAATAACCTTTTTTTTCAATAATAAAAAAATATGTAAATTCAAATAACTATGAATGAATTATGATAGATTAAAGATAGAAGATAAATAATAAAAAAAATAAATGAATAATTATTATCTCAAAGATAACTTGCTTAAGAAATTAAGTGTTAAAGCCTCACTAAGATTTATAAGTAGTGTATATGGACCTCAAAGAGAGGCCACAAGGCCTTAGACTTATCCTCCTAACTACCTTCAAGGTGCTACAATCCTTCTTATAAGAACTACAGTAGTTGTTAGTCATCCTATTTCCTACTAGTAAAATCAATATTTTTTTATTTTTGACTTCACCATGGTGTTTAAAAACATCCTTTTAGCCTTATAACCTTATCTTTCCTTCGAATCTTACTCCATTTTTTCATAATGGCTCCCAAAGTGGTAAAACTTATTTTTATCAAAATCTTAAAAATTACTCTAAAACTTCTTTAAAAATTCTAAATAAATTCTAAAAAATCCTATAATATTTTTATAATATCAATATCAATTGGAAGCTATATTTTCTTACTTTGGTGATTTTTATATTAATAAAGTCAATTTAAGTCAACTATAAATCATATTTCCTATGTAACTAATTAAAAAGATATGAAGTTTTTTTTCATACTTTTTTAACTACTAATTAATATTTATAATATTTTATAAGTAATACATATAGATATAAGACCAATTTAAATATTAATCTTAATAAATAATATTTAATACTTAATAATAAATAAAATATTAAATCAACTAAGATAATTACCTTTAATACTTACTAATATTCCATTTCTGCAACTAACATTCTAATGTTCTATTTGTTTGAGGATTTCTACATTACTCACTATATGTTGTGATTTTAAGTATATTAAATATATATTTTTTTCCTAAAATAGTCAGTCAATTTAATGACTTACACCAAATAACTATATGTCCCAAATTATGAACTTGTATATAAAAATTATTACACTATTGAAATCTTAGATACCTTAAGAAAGAAGGTAGGTCAAGTCAAAATTTAAAAATATTGGGATCCAAAAACCAGGGACATCCTTGTAATCCTAAATCCTAAACTTTAAACCTCAAATCTTAAAATTTTAAATTCTTAATCCTAAATCTTTTATGTATTTATTCTTATTATTAAAATTTTATTTTTTTATATTAATTAAAGAATAATATTATAATTTTAAAAAATCCATATTTTTTAAACTACAAACTTGCTAAAGATTTTAAAAATACTATAAAATATATATATATATATATAGATATATATATGAAAAAAAAAGTAAATCAAATCAAAACTTCAAAAAGATAAGACAAAAAAAAAATCAACAAAATAAAGAAGTAAGTCAAATCAAAACTTAATAATTATTATCTATATGCAAAGTCAATTCAAAAATCAAAATAGTCAAACACTTAATATCTAAAAATATATACACTTTTAAAATAATTGGATTATATATTAAGAATTGACGACCTTCAAATGGATTCAATAGTCTTTTTAAAATTTTAAAAAATACTTATCTGAAAAAAGTCAAAATCTTAAAGACAAAGTTAAAATAGCTATGTCTTACAATCTAAGAACTTGCATAGGAAGTAATGTACACTATTATAATTTCAAACACCATAAATAGGAGAATATGTCAAGTCAAAAATTAAAAATAAGTGGATCAAAAAATTAGGAACATCCTTGAAATCTCAAATTCTAAATCTTAAAATCCTAAATCTATAAATGAGAGGAGGGACTAGGTCAAGTCAAAATGCAAAAACAAAGATGTCAAAAATTTGCACACATCCTTGTAATCCTAAATCCTAAACTCTAAAAATTCTAAACTCTAAAATTTAAAATATTTAATATATAAATTTCAATATATAAAACTATTACTACTTAAATGTATCAGTAGTAATTTTAAATTCTAATTGCTAAATATTAAAACAATGAACCTCTTTAACCTAAACTATATAGACCAAATCATTGAAACTTTGTTTTTAAATTCTAAACTCTAATCTTTTAAACTTAAAATTCTAAATCCTTATCTTCAAATCAATACATTTTTTCCAAAGAATTAATTTTACCTTCTAAATTCATGTACTTAGATGAAAAAACATAATAGTATTATCTTATGTTTGGTTCATTTTTGGTTTACTTTGTTACACATTACATATTTGTCAAATTTTTATGTTTTAAATAAAGGTGTAGTGGTTTTTGTTGATTTTCACATGAATACAGCTGATGAATGCTACTGTTTTGTTTTGTTTTGTTTGTTTGTTTGTTTTGTTTTTTTTTGTTTTTTTTTTTTTTAAATTATGAGGGTTTTTTGGTTTGTGTTTCAATGCAGTTGTAAGTCATGGATGTCATATTGTTTTGCTTCTTGGAAAATTTGACTGAATCTGTCATGATGTGTTGTGTGTCAAGTTTGAGCTAGTTGGGTTTTGGAGTAAACCAAGCACAATGTGTGTGTTGTGTTATTGATTTGGCAGAATGGAGACAGTTGAACTGCTTAGCAGCTAGGATCATGTTTGGATGTTTGATTGTGAATCTGTAAATTGCTGTAATTGACCTTTCACAGGCTCTGTACATGCTGTAAATTCTAGGTAAAAACAATAGATTATCATGTATGTCAAACTATTAGATATGTAGCTCTTGTCAGCAGAGAGAGTTGATTGAAAGATCTACCACCCACTGTTTTGTAATACCTCCAAACATTCTTAAAGATTCCAACATCACACTCTGATTCTCATTGAAAACACAAGCATTAATTTATTTATTTTTAAAAAAATAAAGAAAAGGAATTGTCATACTAAGAGTATATGTTTACCTTTCTGTTTGATCAATCTATTTTACAAACAGCACAAGTTAAATTTTAATAGATAGAAATCCTACAGGTGCCTTTGTTGTTTTTTTACAAATCACTTTTAAAGACTAATTCACAATTAATATTTTAAATTTCAATTGATATCATAACACTTGTAGTTTAAACTAATGTTTATGCTCCATTTAAGCATGTATGGGATAGTTTATATGGGTTGGAACTTAGGTTGAAGATGAATTTGATGATGATGAATGCATATCTAACCAAAGGAATATAAGCAATTGTGTGTACTATCTTTATTTGAATTAACAAATGGGAAGTCATTTCACTTGTGTGGTACATGTTTTCATTTTGGGTCAAATTCAAGAAAGGTTCTTTTACAATCACAGGGACACAGCAATAATCCTCAAAATTTTGTGATGTTCAGGGCTCTCAAAGCTTGCACAAGGTCTACTTTTCTTTTGTATATATGTATTAATGAAATATTTATATAACCTTCATGCCCCATATTTGTCTTTATACACACTGCATGTATGGCTAAGTGCAATTTCAATTGAAGCACCTAGATCAATACTATTGAAATTGTACTCATCCTCCAAGGTCTCAGTGCAAGTATGAAAGAAGTAGTTGACTAAGAAAATTTATGCTCCTGGCATTTACACAAATTTGTAAATCACAAAGTCTGCCCTAGGGGTCATTTTTCAGTGGTAGACTGCAGGTTATTGTGGAAACTTATGTATTTTGAAATGGATAAGCTTGGATGGATTAATGAATATTCAAGCAGAACTACAACATAAAATAATTGATTTTAAGATGAATATTTATATAATAGTATATGAATTCGAATTTTTTATTTTCTATGCTGGTAGTAGGCATAGTTTGGTTCTGAGGTTAAATTTCAATATTTCCACAAATGGCTGTTAAGAACAGGCTTTCTACATATTTTCATCATTCATTTGGTGGTAATGATTGAATAAAAATGCATCAAGATAGTGTTTTGATAATTCACATAATGCCTTTTTGTCACAACTTCCAATGATTCAAACTTGTGGAGAATTTTTAACATCATTTTTCTTCATGAAAATAAATGACAATTTTTGGAGTGAAACTATCCAAGTATTAGAATTTTTATATATTTAGGGGACAAGGTGAGAAACCATAACTTTGAAATCTTTTGATTAGTTGAGATTGAAAAGCCTTACTCAGTTTTGTGTTAAGAAAAATAAATAAAAAAGTTCTGAAAGGAAAAAAAATGAAGTGCAATGTATTGTTTTTCCACAAGGCATGAATAGTGTTGTTATCTAGAATTTCCATTTGGCTCATCTCAAGATGTGGTTCTTAGAAAAATAAAATTAAAAGTTGTGTCAACTTACAATTAGCACAAATAAGATAAGAAATAATACTTCTTGTAATTGTTTAGAGTGAAGATATGAATTATAATATTTAGAGTTATAATAACAAATTGATTTGTTTTATGTCGTAGCCTCCTCTCAGTTTTAATATGTCCAAAAATCAAGACTTCTGTAAATGAATTTTTCTTAACCATACCAATTACCGTGGTAAATCCTTTAAACTGTGTCCTTCCGAAGTGAGTTTAAGATGTGAAAACTCCCCTATAGTTGAATTCCACATAAATGATACCTGGTCAATATCAAAGACCAATGGCGTACAGCGCAAAGAGAGCCTGAGAAAGGGAGTCAGTGAGTGGTCACAGCGAGGGGACGAGAGGGAGAGGGAGACAATGGCAGGATCGACAATGCCGTCGTATGATGCCCAGCAGCAATGTCAAGAGCAGCAGCGGTGGGTGTGAGGGAGGTGAGACTACATCGTCAAAACGCCATGTAGAGGACGCTGGTACTAATCAATCAGCTCACAGAGGTGCAGTACAGGCACGGCCCCCCTCCGCCTTGAATGCTACTCTAGCAGCTCCCCGAGTACCACCGTCCTCCACCGGCGCACAACTCCTCTCCTGCGTGTGGACGCAGCACTTCGCTCTCACGTATGAGTCCGCCGGCCCACTGGTGTTCAATGCTTTCTGAGCCTTCAGCGTTCAGTCGCATTGATGGCGCCCAGCCCCCTGTCAGATCTCGGTTGCCGTCTACACCCACCTCCGTCTGTTCCCTTCAGCTCGACTTCCTACCCCTGCTAAACGCTTCATCTGTTGGTCCCTTGCATTCAACGCTATATTCTGCATTGCACCTCGAGAATGATGCCCCTGCCGTCTTTGGATTTCGGCAGGTTTGAGTACCTCTTTCTGCGTAACAACACTTTGGTCTCAACTGGTCGCCCCGGAGTTCGATAGTTAGCAGGGTGACAATACTAACCACGACAAGAGAGTGCAAGTGGTTAAGTCCACCGTTAGTAGTTGAGTGGCATTTCGTTGAACGTAAACTCTACATTTCCAATTCTGTCTGCAGCTGATCATAGGTACAACTTTCCACTATTCTTTTTTGCATATCCTCCAAATCCTGCAACTTCCCAAAGTTTTAAATTCCTACTAGCGTGAAGCAGGAATAGTATCAGCTTGCAATTACAGGAAGCTACACAATCGTCGTCCTCAGGGAATTGTTATCGTGGAATGCTACTGCGGTACATCAAACAGTTGGTCCAGGCCAGTAGAGGTCGGCAAAGACGTTGGATGCATGGTACTCTTTACGAGATTCTCATCTTACCGTCAATTTCAGGTGGCTTGGAAATGACAAACTTTGCCTGCTATCAGTTGACAATCAAACACTAAGCTCCAGGACTTTGTTGACGACCTGTTCATCAGCAGAGTTTTTTATATTTAGAGTCGAGTGAAGTTGATTCGTTTAGCACGCATGGTTTGTGTTGTAATTGCAAATAATCTTGGTATACAGAAAGGCAGTGAAATCAGTGCCTCGGATGTTATATCTGCACACCTATTAGCGTCTAGCTCGGAAGGCATTTGATGAACTTGCAGCACTAGCAAAAACCTGGTTCATTGCCTCATTAAGTTCGTGATTTGTTACGCATGCCGTGAGAACTGCATGATCAATTGGTAACTAAATTGGTGACCCCCCTATCAATACACCAGTTAACGTAGAACACAAGTTTTTTCTTGAAAACTTCATCCACAGAGTTCTATTAGGGCGAAGTAAGTTGTCCTGCGCCTTCCCACTTGCCTGCATTCCTGCCTGGTTTCTAAATGTAATTCTCCACGTCAGTACAAACTATTCTACGCCTTATCTCGCGTATGCTCAGCTATGGGCTGAGCTTCTTCGTCCAGTAGTTTGTCTCCACCCTGTAACCAATTTTATGCAGTCGGGAATTCTCGTAGATGATTTTGATTTCAAATATCGATTCCTAAAATGGTTCAATGATATACTTGACTTGCTGGTGGGATTTCATCGTACTATTTTCTGTGACATAGGAATGCTCCATCTTCACATGAAGTGCGGTAATCAATAATTTGCATTTCAGCGTCTGAAAGCAGGTCATAAGGAATTTCTTAATTGGTTGAACATGTGATTAAAAATCAGAGGGAGCTGGATCCACTTAAAAGCAGTTTCAGAGAAGAAAATGCTGGAGCAGCAGGTGAAGATGAGAGATGAAAAAGTGATTGTGTGGTGCATAGCCATATTGCTGTTGCAAGGTTTTCATGTCCGAGCAAGCGCTCAAGTGACCAACTTGCCGCTGCCCAGCACAGGGTTTTGCGAGTCATTTGTGAGCCCCATCAGCTATAACTGTACCGAGATGATGGTAAGAACATATTTGAATTCATGGTAATCACATGTGCAGTGATATAAACCATGTAAAGAAATTACCCACATCGTGTGTCTCGCATTGTATTGAAGAAGGAAACTTGTCTTGTTGTCACTTCCAGGTCCAAACCCATGATGGATTTCTCCTTGCAATCCAAAGAATCACCACATCGAATCCTCTCACCGTAAGAAAAGGTCCTGCCTTCTTATACCACGGCATCATGGAGGTACCACTCTTAACTCAATGAACAAGTTTATTGCATTCAAGTTCTTTATTCCTACCAAGCGAATTTTACTTGGAAGACGTATGATATCATAGTATGGAATAATCATGTGCTGAGAAAAAAATTCAAAGGTTGAATTGAAATTCTTTGTATTTAAATACCACGATTGAATTTCTGGAGATTTTCTTTTTCTTTTTATTTTTCTTCTACTTCTTCATCTAGGGAGGAGAAACGTGGGCCTTGAATGCAAACGATGATTCATTGGCATTCATGATGGCAAATTCTGGATATGAAGTCTGGATTGGAAACACTCGGTCTTCAAATTATACTTTTGGTCATCTCAAGTTCACTAGGAAGGAAAAGGTTTGTCTTTAAACCCTTCTAAAACACACATTACTTTACTTATTTATAGTATTAAATAAGAAAATAAATAAATTTATTTAACTTTAATGTTGATTTTACAGGAATTTTGGAACTGGTCATGGGATGATCTTGTGAAATCAGATTTGCCTTCAATGTTGCAATATGTTAACAATTACTCAAAACAACCAGTCTATTATGTTGGCTACTCACAAGTAAGTTTTACTTTGCAGTACATGAACAATCTCTGTGACGTAACTTTTGTTATTGGTTTCAAACGTTTTTGTTGTTGATGTTTTCAACTCTGTAGAATTATTTCCTGATGGAAATTCAATAAGGTCGGATCAGTTGTGTTCAGATTTGTGCAGATATTTTCTATAATTGTGATAATGTTCTTTTTTGAAGTTGATACATACAGTGTTGTATTTTAACAGGGAACAATGACTGCTCTTGCAAGCCTTTCAGAAGGGTCAATTACAGCTCTCATCTCAAAAGCTGCTCTGTTGAGTCCAATTGGTTCTTTAAAATATATCACCTCTCCTTTTGCATCTGCTGCCTCATACCTATTTGTGGATGAGGCAAGTCATATTCTTTCACATTCTTGTTCAGTGTGTTAATTTTTCTTGGAAAGTAATATAGTTATTTTGTGATTGAGTGCCTATGTGCACAACTAACTAAAAAACAAATTAGCTCTTCTTTTAAGTGTAATATTCCAAATGAACTTGCAGATCCTATTGCTTTCAGGTGTAGCTGAATTCAGTGCAAACAGGTAAATTATGCATGATACTGTATTCGAAAAGTTCTTTAGAGTTTATGTATTTTTTTTCTACGTAGTATTGAATTTATACATTTTCTTCAACTTCTAGAACATGATATGTAAATTCATGTTGAAACCATGAGTAAGTAAAGTGATGAAGATAATTATGCAATGCGTGCTTCAAATAGAATTTTAACAACACTTGGATGTCATTCCAACATTACAGTGATGTTGGGAAAAGGTTTCTGGACATTACATGTGCATCTTCCCAAGTTGATTGCAGGCATGAGCTGATTAGTCAAATCACAGGTGAGTCAACAACAGTAACACTGAACAAGTTAATTTTTTTGTATTGTATCTTGTTGAATATGAGGTTCATTACAGTCAAAGTTTTTTTAGTCATTTATGCAACGGAGGTGTGAGTAATGAAGTTTTGATTTTGCAGGTACTAATTGTTGCTTCAACACATCACAAATATCTGTTTACAACAAATATTCAATGCAATCTACTTCAATGCGAAATTTGGCACAAATGGCTCAAAGTAAGTGGGATCAGGTTCATATTTATTGGATTGGAGTTTGATGAAATGTAAGAGCTGATGTGTTGAGAAGTAGACAACTGGGTTGTGTTGGAGACTGGGCAGAGAGCAGATGCAGGCAAGTAGGCAGATATGTGGCTTGAAGTCCAGAAGATGAGGAGGCCAGCAGCAGGTTTTAGTAAAGTGGGGTGGGGATGTGCAGTGGTGCGGTCAGGGAGATTCAGTATGTATGACCATGGCTTTTGGAACAATGTGAAGAAGTATTCATCTCTGTTCCCACCAGAGTACGACGTGTCCGTCATTCCAGCCACTCTCCCCATTCTCCTGGCACATGGTGGCAATGATGCCCTTGCGGACCCCAATGACGTGGCAGCTTTGATTAGCAAATTGGCAGGATCTCCCCAAGTTCTTTACCTCCCAAAGTATGCCCATGCAGACTTTGTCATGGGCACCAACGCTAGTCAGGACGTTTACACTCCTATCCTTGAATTCTTTCAGGCATAGACTATACATAACTGTACATATACTTATTATATATACATATATCACTTCCCATTCCAGTAGTAATGTCCAATGTTTTGATTGAATGCTTTATTTCTGTGATGATTTTGTGTATTATAGAATGTTAAGAACCATTTTGATGTCCATGCATGTTGTGTTTTTGAGTTGCACATGAATATCATCTTATTAGATTTAAGTGACCTTACATGTTTTTTCTCCAACTCTTAAGTCTAGAAAAGTCCAAGATGACTGAGGTGGTTTCTTAGAATCAATCTGTCAAACCTTTCATTGCAAAGAACATAATTTTTCCTCAATATTATTCTTATTCAAACTTTTAGGATCAATTGAAATTTTTCTTGTTTGCAAAAAGAATGAGTAGCTTTCATAGTGATTTTTATAGCTATTTCGCAATATTTTTTTCCAGCTTCTACACATAGTCAATAAAACCCCTTAGAAATTTTCATTCTTAGTATATATAATTGCATTAATTTTATCTAAGCAGATTCATTCTCAACTAGCTTTTTGCAATCATTGAGCTTCTTTCAGTTCTCAATTATATATATTTTTCTATATAATATGTTAAATCTAACTTGAGCTCCATGTGAATTTAATAACATGTTTTCGAAAATTAATCCTGCTGTACATTATATTTTGGTTCTGTGATTATTTATTTATTTATTTAAAGAGAAATTGAATATTTTAAAAAAATACTTGCGAAACGAAGTAAATCATTTGCCTTTGGATTTTGTGAAATAGGATGTGTAGATCCTAATATTGTTGCTCCTATAGTTATCTTTACAGTACCTCATGTACCTTGGAACTTAAGGCCAATTCCCGTGCCGAGGACAGATTTACCTAAATTGATGGAATTATTGAAAGAAAAGATGCAAATGAAAATTTTGGAGCCTTCTTTTGCTCTATATTCTAGTCGTTGGTTTACGGTGCCTAAAAAAAATGGATTGTTACATTTCATTCAAGATATTCAGCCAATGAATGTAATAACTATAAAAAATACAAGTATAAGACCTTAAGTAGATGAGTTTGCAGAAGCATTTGGGAGAAGGGTAATTTTTTCAATGGGTGATTTATATTTGGATTATGATCAATTTCAACTTGCACATGGGAGTAGAGATCTAAAAACAATGAAAATGCCACTTGGATTATTTAAAATGTGTACTCTCTCACAAGGTACTATTAACTCAGTTGCACATATGATGAATGGGATGAACAAGGTACTAAGAGACTTCATTCCTAAAAAAACTATGTCTTTTTTAGATGATGTTCCTATCAAAGGATGTAAAGAAGGAGAAAAAGATGAAACTTTAGATGAGAGGAGGTGTTGCAAATATGTTGTTGTTCATATACAAGATTGTAAAAAGATTTTAATTCGACTTGAAGAAATTCATCTTACACTTTCAGGAGAAAAATCTACATTTAGAGTGCAAGAAGCTCTTATTGATAGACATTTGTGTATGTTTTATGAGAGAAATCCAGATCCAAGCAAAATTGATGCAATTGGAAGGATGAAGGATTCATGTGACTCTTTAACAAAAGTACGCAAGTTTTTAGGAGCTTGTGTATTTTATCGTATATGGATTTTTCATTATGCTCATGTAGCGGATCCATTGTATGAATTATTACATAAGGGTTATTAATTTAAATGAGAAAGAAAGCATACTGAAGCAATGCAGAAGCTAAAGGTGTTATTGATGACACCTCCAATTTTAAGAAAAATTGATTATGAATGTAATAGACAAGTAATTCTTATTATGGATACTAATCCTATTACTATTGGATGGATTGTGGGTCAAGATGATTCAAGTCAAAAAAGATTTGCAGTTTGATTTAGAACTAAAGTTTTAAGTACTCATCAACATGCATACTTGCATGTCAAAAGAGAACTTTGGAGAGTTGTTTTGGATATGAAAGCTGAAAGGGATTATTTGATTGATGCAGCAGTAGTAATTGAAACAGATTGCTTGCCATTACTTAGAATGATTACTAATTATTCAACGTTAGATATTACAATATTACGATGGATTGCTTATATTAAGTCATTAAATCTGGAATTTAAACATGTTGATGGAAAGACAATTTAGTAGCAGACATGCAATCTCGAGCAAGATATCAAAGAGAAGAAAAAATGGTTGATGATGTTGGATCAAAATTCTATTCAATATCAAATCTTAACAAAGAAGACAAGCTATTTCTTCAAGAATTTTATGAAGGAGAATTATTGAATATTGGTCATTACTTGAATACCTTGACTAAGCAAAAAAATTGGTCTACAGAAAAATTTAAACAAATAAGAAAAAAAAAACATATGGATTTTTGCTTCAAGAAGGATTCTTATAGAAGAGACCATAGAAAGGAATTGAAAAGCCACAAAGAGTGATAGGCAATAAGGAAGAGAAACAAAAATTATTAAAAGAGTTTCATAATAGTTTATGGACAGGACATAGAAGAATTTGGACTACTTTTTTTAAACTTAAGGAACAATATTGGTAGAAAAATATGTATCGAGATGTGCTCTTATTTGTAGAGTTATGTGAAATTTATCAAGAATATTCTAATATACGGCATCGAGATGGTCTTCATCCTATATATCCTCTAGCTATTCATTTTAAATGGATTTTTGATTTGGTTATTATGCCAATCAGGTTAAAGCAAATGAGATATTTGGTCTTAGCTTGTGAAGATTTATCAAATCAAGTAGAAAGAAGAGCATTGAGAACAAAAACTATAGAAGGAATTTGTAGATTTTTGCTTGAAGATGTTATTTGTCACTATGGATGTGTAGGAAAAATCTTTGCAAATTGTGGAGAATTAAATACACAAGAAGCTCGTGAATTCTTTGAAAGATGTGGAATCAAACTATCACTGACTATTGCTTATAATCCTGAAGGAAATACAAAAAGTGAACGTAGTCACCCATCGATTGTGAAAGCATTAGTTAAAGCTTGTAATGGGAAGGTTAGAGAATGGCCACGACTTTTCTCATTTGCATTGTAGATTGATCGAACAATTCATAGCTCAGGAACGGGATATATGCCTATTGAGCTTATGACAGGTCAAAAACTAATTAAACCAATTGAAGAAAAGTATCTACTTGGAGTATGCTACCATGAGAAGATAGATTGACAAGAGAAAAACTTCTAGCTATTCGAATTCAACAATTAGAGCAAAGATCGGAAGATCTGCAATTAGCATTAGAAAGATTAAAAAGATCAAGGTTACAAAATAAGGCACGATTTGATAAGCAACATTGATTTAAGCCTAAAGCAATTGAAGAAGGTGATTGGATTTTGGTCTATGAAAGTAGTTTGGACAATCAACATAGTGCTATAAAGAAGTTTTCTAAATGATGGTTTGGACCGTATGTAGTAATAATTATTTATGATAATATAACTTACTCATTGTAGGAGTTAGATGGAACAAGGATAAAAATACCAATTGCAGGGAAGTGAATAAAAATATTTAAACAAATCCATACAAAAATAAATATAGAAGACCTTGGTGAAGATATAGATATTCTTCAACAGGAAGATGAAATTGAGTTGGATAGCAAAAATGAGGAAGAGGATTTGGATGAAGATTTGGAGAACGTATTATGAATCAAACAACAACTGGATTATTTGGTGCATACCAGAGGGTGCATAGGTTGAGAAGGAGTAGATGTTGTGTTATAACATGACTATATGATGAAAATATAAATGAAAAAGATATTATTAATATTTAGTCATCTTGAATGTTAGAAACAATGGCCAATTTAAGTGCCAATATTCAGAGTCAATTAATGTCATCCAACTAACATCATCGAATTAAGTACCCTCCGTACCAACGAGACAACCATGATCATTTTCCAACCCTACATGGAACAAGCCTAGTAAGTATATATCGGTGGAGACACCCAATATGCATGTTGGAGGTGCAAGAAGACTACTTTGTCATTTTCATTGCAAACAGGTTGGTCATTGTTCCAGTGAATGTTCCAATCTCAAAGTTAGTGATATTTACATGCCAATGTCTAGGAATTGCAAGCAGTCGGGGCATACTTATCAGCAATGTAATGCTCCGTCTAATTTCAATAAATAAGATCAGCAGATCCAAAGCCAAGAAAAAATTGAGGAGAGAAATTAAGGACCTCAAGATTCTCCAGTAAACGGGTGGAATGTATCCAAGCCGTTCTTACTAAGAGTCAAAAAAAGAGAAAAAAACCAATTCAACAAATTGAGTAAGCTTGATGTGAAGGGCCAATTTGATCCAATTACGGGACATCCAATCTAGGTTCTATTATAAGCCTCTTATCCAGTTTAGAACCAGACTCAGTTACGCAACCCAATGAGGTCTCGATTACAAAGGCTTTGGTTCTATCTCAAGTTTTTCTGTTTTTTATGCCATTTTGGGGGAAACGTCTTTTTTGGTATAAGATCCTCTTAGAGACAGGAATTTCAGGGAAGCACCGTTGGTTGTTCCAATTCAAAGTCCAGAGTAGGAAAAAATAGGACCACACGGAGTTAAACTGAAGGAAATAAAAGAGAGATTTTTAGAGGGATTGTAATATGGGGGTCAGAGAGCGAGTTTCAAGTTCCTTCGGAAAGATATAAGATTAGATTTTTTCATAGGGTTTGGAAGGGGACTTTTGCAATCATTGCTGAAAGTTAGTGTTTGTATTGGTGATTTGGGTTTATTTTGCAATAAAGTTAAGGTTGGTACTCTTGACTGTTTTGTGAAATTGGAGAAACTTCTGCAATTGAAATTTAGAGGTGTCTAGAAGTTTGAGTATGTGGAATGCATATAAAAGTTGTGTTAATCTGATGGAACAAATAGAGGATATTTGACCATTAGTATAAAGAAGTATCAGAAGTTAGTAGATTGAGGTTGTTTAAGGTTTTTGTAATATCTGGAGATCTACCAGCTGGAATAAGGTGACTTTTGGCATGGTAAGTTAAGGGCTTATAAGCAGCGGTCAAGATACAATAGTGTGGATTTATGACGTTTTCTAACAATTTGTAAATTAGATTGGATTGAAACTTCTTGAATATTTAAAAGGCTTGCAAAG